GACAAGCTCTAGGTGTGGTTTTGGGGCCAGGGACCTCTCTTCAGGTACCTCCATGGCTGAGGCTCTTTTCACCAGTCCTCAAGTGCCCCATAATGACCCTGCATCCTGTAAAAACACCCCCAGCCAGAGCAGGGGTGGAAGGGCTGTGAGTTTGAAGGGGGAGTGTGGGGTTTTGAAATGGATGCCAGCAAGACCCACTGCAGATGAGAGCCACCAGCAGCTCAGATACCTTCACACCAAACAGTGATTTGATGCAGGTCAGAACAAAGCTCTTTTAAAAGACCCCCAAGTACACATGGACATGGATTTGGGTCTGTTTCCAGGGCAAGCTTCTCCACACTCCAAGAAAATTATCTGTATCTTGCCCTTGCAGCCTGCCCTGGGAAGTCAGTGCCATTCAGATGCCATTTGATGGGACTCATGGTGACATCCATTCCAGTCTGAGACAGTTATCTAGGCAGGAGTCTCCAAAGGAAGTGCACTAAGGGAAGTGTCTAAGGTAGGCAAGATATCTCCTCTAGGATGTGCCCTTGACTATCTGCATCTAAAGAGCTTAAAGAGAAAATCTGCTTTTAGTGAGGAGTGAAATGAGAGTGGATGTAGCCTGGCAGAGGCTTCCTGTAGGCAGTGCTTCATACCCCAAGGAAATCCACATCTCTAATATTTTGAATGAACTGGAGAGCTGTGCTACAAACATTATATTTCCTGTGGCAAATGCTGACCCAGCATTCAGCAAGGTAACAACAGCCACTACAATTTCTTTCTCCATCCAGGTTTTGTGCATCTTGCTGATGCATATGAGGTCCTAGGGTGAAATCCCAGCTTATCTCCATTAATGCCAGTGATATGGATATGTCCTTGGGACCCCAGTTCTGTACCTCTGAAAGTGCTGTTCTTGCAGCAAGCAAAGGTTTAACTCAGCACTGCCATGCCCCCAGCACTTCACCCAACACGATGCTTTAACAGTGCTGACAGGGACTTTTCCACACTTCAGCATGAGTGTTGGTCTTGGCTGAAAAACCCCAGTAACTGGAGGTTAAGTCACTCCATCCCAAACCCAATGCTCCCCTCTGCCAGACCTCCCCCATTATTCTTTGACTCCTTGTCTTTCTTTCCATGCAACACACTCACTCCCACTGGAAAGACTTTTAGGTAGTGGGACTCCAGTGTTTCTTAGCAGTGTTGCCATAAGGAGCATGAGGAGATTGCTGGGACTCAACATCTCTCCCTTGGGTAGGTGAAGAGCAAGACTTGGGTGCCACTGCTGGGCTTTGAGTGATTGGAGTTCTGTAACACTAACTTCAACCACTTATGGACATTTTGTGGTGGATGAACACTACAATCACACCCTTACCCATGGCACCTTTATCAACTGTGCCCTCAAATCAGGCTTCCAGAAGGCAGGTGTGTGTCTGTCAATAAAAAAAAAAAAGTGTGTGTATATATATATATATATATATATATATATATATATATATAGGTTCAGGGTGTTTGGTAAGGGTTTGCATGCCTATAATGTGATGATCTAAAATTAGTTTGTTAGGTTAGTGATTGGACTGGATGATCTTGGAGGTCTTTTCCAGCCTCAATGATTCTGTGATTCTATTCTATTTATTACAGTGCTGATTTCTTTGGCGTTTTCTCTAAATCTCCTAGATATGGTGACACTTTAAACTCAGTATGTGACATGGTCTTGTGATATGGTCTCTCAGACAAATACTCAAACATATTTAATAAGCAGTTTCACAGCTGTAGACTGTCCTGGATAAATCCTCAGGATCTGTATGGTTCTTGTGCCACCTTTCTCATTACATCTCCTGGTACTGCTCTGAACTTGAGTGTAGCACTGCTGAGGATGCCCTCCTAACAAAACTGTGGAACAAACAGACAGCAGACTGATCTTCAGACCAAACAACTCTTCCTAATTATGGATCATTAGGGAATCCAAATTTTGAATGGAATTTGGAAAATGACCTGTAAGGTTTGCCTAAGAAGCCATTTCCTAGTCCTTCTCTTCATTTCCCAGGCATCCAGGTAGCAACTTGGACTGGTTAACTTTTCACCAGCTTGTTCAGCAGCTGGGTTGGTGATCCAGGCTGTGCTGAGCTCACAGCTGTCACAGTTACACAGTTCTCAGCACCAATTTGAGGAGAACTTGGTTGCAGCCAGGTGAATCACAGCCCCAGCACTAACAGCAGGGACAGGACAGCACTCACACTTAAACATCATCATCATCACCATCATCATCATCATCATCATCATCATCATCATCATCATCACCATCATCATCATCATCCCCACTGCAGAGTCCTGTGAAAAATGCTGTTTGTAACCAGCCAGTGAGAATGAGAGGACTCCACCTTGTTATTTTTCCCTATGTAGAAGGAACAAAGTGTTTATTTTCCAGCTGGTTGTCTTGCAGTTGCAGACAGGCATCCAGTTATCAAGCTGGGCTCTTCCTATCACCTACCCTGTTGGCAAACAAAGCCCTGCATGTCAGATAGTGCCTCATTTTTTAGAACCATGCTGTTCCTGTGATGTCTCTGGATATCTCCAGATAATTTAAGCACTAAACTGTGTGTTTCAGACTGGAGAGTGAGGGCTGTAGAAAAACAGTGTAAGCAAATGAGCTGGTTAGCTTTTTGATAGTGTTTGAGAAGTTTCTGAGTGGCTCTGTAGAGCAGATCTACCTCTCCTGACAAAGGACCAACCTCAAAATGTCTGTGAGTGTCTCTGGGATGAGGATAATACTATCCCTGATATCTGCTATCCCCCCATCAGCCAGCCCAGACACATGAAATGCAGTTGGGTTCACAGAACCTCCCACTTCAGCTGCATGAAGTGTTTGTTCCTCTGCCCTGGACTCTGGCATGGGCCATGCCTATCACTGCATCCAGGGAAAATGCAGGAAATCCCTGGTGAAGTAGAGTTTCCACCTCATGTCTTCCCAACAAACATATTTCCCTAACTCAGTGTCCTCCTTTACGGGGATTTAAATTCAAGAAGTGTTCTGCTTGAGGTTTTGCAAGGGTTTGGCAAACACAAAAGCCAAGATGTGCTGGCTGTTTTCAAAGACCACTTGGACTGAGCAGTGATCAAAACCAAACTCTCTCCTTTTCAGCACAATTTCTGGCCCTCTATCTGTGAGCTCCCCATCTTGCTAGCATGCATTTATAAAAGAGCCCTAGAGAGAGAACAGTTGGGGCAAGAATTTGCCATGCAGCAAAACCCCACAGTGCTTTTGCACAAGGAACAAGAGCTTCCAAGGGAGTGGAAGCAGTTGCTGTGTTTGTGTTGACTGGCCATGGTTTCCCACTGCTGGGGGTTTCCAAAGCAAATGAAATGTTATTCATCAAGGCAGGCTCCCTCCCCAGCTTTCAGTTGTTGAAAATACTACAAAGTAAGATGGAAAGAAACATGTAATCCTTCATCATCACAGTCAGGATTTACTTGTTTATTTAGATTCCCTGTCTGTTCCAAATGTTCTGCCAGAGAAAGCCCATCCAGACTCCAGGAGTGCTTGACACACATAGAAAAATTTCTAGATGTATTTAGAAGATAAATCCAGCAGAATACACTGCCTGTCCTCACAGTGCAGCAGCAACATGAAAGTCCCACATGCACAATAAAATAGCTCAGGATGCTTTTTGTAGGGAAAAAAAAAAGCAGGAGGCACCTGAGGAGAAATTGATTTTGATGTGGATCTTCTAAATCAGAAACTTTTTGGTGGAGTTGTCCTTGATCTCCAGGTGTCTCCTCTTTTTCTGCCTGGAAAGTTTTTTCCAGGTAGAAAAAATGGAACTTGGTGTCTTTGTGGTCAGTAAAAGGAGAGAGCTGTGTTCAGAGGGTGATTCCTCCCTCTGCCCTAGGAGGGGCAAATCAGCCCCTGGAAGGGTGTCTCTCCCTGCAGACACCACAGGGGAAGTGCAAAGAGAGGAGCCCCGACCTGAGTCTCACTTTTAGCTTAAGAGAAGGCAGCTGAATCCCATCCTGAGTGAGGCTGTGTGTTGGGAACTGACTCCTCAGCAGCCCAGCTGGTGTTTGCCATCCCACCCCTGTTGCTGCACCTACAGGCAGGAAACCAGTGAGACCATAAACACACCTATGAGATAAGAGAGATCTTTTGGGTCATCCTAGGATGAGGTGGTAGAAGATGAGCACTTGTCCAACAGATGTTTTGCAGTTGTACCATCACCCAACCCAATGGATTTGAAAATGCTCTGTGAGCTGTTCTTCTAGGGATGCCTTGGGGGCAGCACCTTTGAAACCTTCTCTCTTTTTTATCTCCTATCTAAGAGCCACTGGCATGAGTGAATGTCAAAACTTGATGTCCCTTCTGGGGAAAACATTGCAGTAAGTTGTATGGGGTAGAGTGGGAGGGGCAGTTTTCAGGCAATGACCTCCCAAATAATTTATGTTAAAGTTACGGGATCATGGATGCTCCTAGAGACTGCTGAGATTTTACCCTCTAGGGTTTTGTCTTAAACAAGCCAATATAATGAGGCGTTTAAGACACCTCTGTTCTTGGAAAAGCAAAATAACCAGTTCTGTGTTTGGCAGGTGCTGTCCTTATTTCACATGTTGACATAAAGAGCAAAGGGCAGGCTCTTATCAGAATCTGGGGTTTCTGAAGGGCTGCTAAGCTGAATCCAAACCAGAGTTTTCCAAAAGTGACACCCCTTGACCCAATCTCCAGTTTAGTACCAGAATTAGAGCAGCTTTTCTCCATAAACTTGATGTAGCCTCAGTGCACTGGATAGATCTGACAAAACAGTTCATAGAAGTAATTTTGAATCACATTAAGATCTACAATTTGGGGTCTTAACTAAATCCATAAGTGAAAGAGAGGATTTTACTTAAAAGGATATAAAACCAAAATCAAAGTTCCCCCCAAAAAGCATTCAAGCTTTTGCAAAGTTGTGAGGTGTTTTCCACAAAGCCTGAATTAACCCTTGCTGTGGTAACTTCTTGTGCACCCTGACCTGCTGCTGTCCCCACAGCTGATGTGCTCCTCGGTGCAGAAGGCCCTGTTTGAGGAGGAGGACAGGGTGAAGAAGCTGCAGCAGAAGGTGGCGGCGCTGGAGAAGCGCAACAAGCAGCTGCGAGAGCGAGTGAAGAAAGTCAAGAGGTCCCTCCGGCAAGCCAGGAAAAACTCCAGGCACATGGAGCTGGTGAACAGAAAGCTCAGTGAGAAACTTTCCTCTGCAGGTGGTCAAGTGCCCTATATTAACTCTTTGAAGCAGGAGAACTCCCACGGTACCTACCTGAAAGTATAATGCAGGGTAAGTGCTCAGGCCGGTGGGTTTTGTCTGCGTTAGATCAGGGTCTGGCCCTCACACCTTGTCTATGCTGTGCTTCAAACCTTGCATGGAAAATGAATCTGACCTTGCTTTAGACACAGTGCCAGATTAAACAGGAATGGCAGCTGGATTTGGAACGGCCCAAAGCCATGTCCTGCTGCTCTCAGTGGACACAGGGCCCGACAATCACCTGTGCTTCTCCTCCCTCACCCAGCTGCACCTCCAGCTTTAGGCTGTGTTTGATGGAAGTGCCAGCCCAGACCTCTGGGCCATTGCAGGCACTTGACACAGGAGCTCCTCCTGCCAGTTTACCTCCTCCTCATGGGCTGGGCAAGCAAGGCTTGGGGTCTAGAGAGGAATGTGGTGGGAAGGATGAAGGCATGGATGCCTTCACTCCCTTATCACCCCCAGGCTCTCAGCCTTGCTTGAGCTTGACTGAAGTCTTCACCCAGTGCCTGGGCATAGGCTGTGTCTGAGACTCAGGCAGTTTGTGCCTCTCTTCAGCACAAAATATACATGTGCCCATATTGTCTTAAGACTGTCCCTATATATCTTTAAATATTCTAAATCGAATAAATATCAACTTTTATTTTTCCAAAAAGTGCCTCAAGGCTCTCAGTAACTCCCTCAGGTGCCTTTATCACTGTTCAGCCAACTGGGTTGGAAACCACATCATTTTGGGACTGTGTCTAAGACCAAATCCTGCAGTCAGGAGTGGACTTAGGCTATGAGTGGGTGTTGGATCAGGCCCAGCAGGAAATTTCAGATCCCATTCTCAAGCAGGTTTAATTACAGTGTGGACAAAGCTTCAAGTTTTGTAGTCACTGAGGTATAATGGAGGTTGCTGGGCAGCCTCACTTAGTTACATTTAAAACCTGTAGAGACCACATCAATATCAACAGGGCATTAAAAATTTAGGTAGTTTATATATGTATATATTTTAAAATCCTATAGAAAATATTTTTATTACACATTTGACATAGTCTAATTTCTTAAAATATGAAGTAAAACCTGTTTCTTTCTTATCTCATGAAAAAGAAAAGTCCATCATATCCTTTATTAGGTATTTACAAACTGACTTCTGCTCAAGCAGTGTGGGTTTAGGCCTCAGTATCCATGGCTGATAATGTTAATGCTTGAAACTATCCCTGCACTTGGAAAAGCCCATATCAGCTTTCAAATATGAGCTTCAGTCCAAGCAGAACACAGAAGCTGACTCTCATTACCTTCCAGTTTTGCTCCTTTTGGAAATACTTTTTTTCCCCCTCTTGAAATAAAATTGGCATTTTTTAAGATTCTGACTCCTCCTCAAGCTTCACTGGTTTCAAAGGCTCCACCTTCCACATCACCACAATTTGAATTGTTTTCTGCTGGAGTCAGCAATGCTGTTTCCTGAGAATAGCTACAGAACTTAGGCTTCCCTAGAAGCCATCAAGAGATTTTTAACTCCAAAATTTAAATCCATAGAAAAGTAACTACTTTTTGTTGTTTAATTTCTGGCTTCTAAACTACTGTTTAAATAAATGAACTGATTTTCCTGGCATAGGTATTAAAAGCTTGTGTTTTAATTTTTTGTTAAGAAAAATATTCCCTCTGGTATTCATTCATGTTTTATAAGTGTTTGTATAAAGCTCAGAAATTATAATTAATATAGTTAAAGCTTTGCTATTCTTACAGATTTTCCAAACACAGTGTTGAATATCTTTTTCTTTTGGCTGGTATTTTTGTTGCTTGATGAAAAGATTGGAATTTTCTTCCTGTTTCCCCCTTTGTCTTCCTTAAAAAAAAAAAAAAAAGTAAAACATTTTGTTCTCCATATGAGTTCTGTGAGAATTTCATTTATTCTGCAAAGAAAACAAAAAGAACCTCCCAAAATGCAAAGTCCAAATGAACCCAAAATGCTTTCACTGGGTGCAAAACCCAAAAAGTTTGTTTCCTTGTGAGTTTGTTTTTCCCTTTCATTCCTGCTTGGGTTTGGATCATTTCCAGAGATAAGGACTAGCAGTCAGATCAGGTCACAAGTTAACCCTCTTGACAAGCAACAGGAGATGTCAGACCTGAATAAAAATGCCATTAAAGTGTCAGAATTGATTGCCTGTCCCTGCTGGTGACAGTGTCCAGAGAGTGACCAGGAAGGTTGCACATGCAGGAGACACAAGAGGAATGAGGAATTTGGGTTCTGTCCACCCAGGCTGGTACACATCACACAGCTACAATTTTTAGACCCACTCCATACAATTTCAGGGATCAGCTCATCTGGAGACCTGCAAAAAGGGCAGAATTTCTTGCCATTTCCAAGAGTAATGGGAAAGGCATGATTATGTTCCTCTTGAAAAGCTGTGAGGGAGGGACTGAGATGCAGAAATGAAGAAGAGGTTGGCATAGCTGGGTGGGCTCACAAGAGATGGTGTAGAAACCCAAAAAAATCCTGGTAAAAAAAGAAAGACAAAGAAAATTCACATTTTGTTAGAAACAGCACTAAATGTCAGCTCCCCTTGGGAAGTTCAAAGATGCTTTACAAATTAGTAACATCTGCTTTTTCAAAACATATCAGGAGCTGGAAGGCTGCCAGAGCATCTGCAGGACCAGTGCTAGGGGTGTCCAGAGCAGCTGGACACAACTGGAGACAAGGATGGGATTTTTGGCATCTGCCTTCACTGTGGGGATGTTTTTGTGGACAAATACATTTTTCCTGATGGATACAGAGGATGACAAGAAGTGAAAGAGGAAAATTAATAGTAACAGAGCAGAGTAATTGAAAAAAAAATGAGGAGAGGAGAGTGGAGAAGAAGAGAAGAGAAGAGAAGAGAAGAGAAGAGAAGAGAAGAGAAGAGAGAAGAGAAGAGAAGAGAAGAGAAGAGAAGAGAAGAGAAGAGAAGAGAAGAGAAGAGAAGAGAAGAGAAGAGAAGAGAAGAGAAGAGAAAAGAGAAGAGAAGAATGACAGAAAGAAACAGCAGAGGGGAAATTGTTCTCATAGGGATTCTCCTTTTAACCATCAACACATCCCTCTTGTACTATTTCTGTCACAACTTTTGCAGGACTTGTGTGTCTCACCAGAGTGTAAGTGGATAATTCAGATGGTGATCTGCACCCAAAAATACCTTGAGTTTTTTAGACTTTACCATTGAATTTTCTGGGTTTTTTTGAAAGTGGATGTTTATAAAACAAAGTGTATCAAATAAACTTTTCTCATAAATCCCAATATCATCCTGATTTAAAAACCCTACCTGAATAACTGGGGAAGAACCACAAAGTGAGGTAGGATTTATGGGGAGCAGACACTGTTAGTAGCTTTCTTTGCTTCTTAACACCAAAACCATTGGGGAAAAAATTACTTCCTTATGTTTGAATAATAATTTAGGGAAATAGCCATGTTATTCTATTTGGGTTTTGGCAGAAGGGGGTTTTGGAACTAAAGAGCCCATCAGGGTTTCAGAGTTGTATCAGTAAAGCCCATTTCTAATACACAAAACCTCTTGCCAAGCTAGGTAATCTCCCATTAATGAGGCAAAGGAGCCCAAATTAATTTCTGAAAGTAGGAGAAAAAACATAGAGGCAAAACTGGAGAAAGCAGATGAAACTGAAAACATGTGTCATTCTTTCTTATAACAAATCCAAGTAATTGCAAGGAAATTTTCATTTTCCTCCCTATTTAACACCAATTATTTTCATTTAATCACAGACATGCACCTATTTCCCTCCAAACCAGCCTGCTCTGCATGTGAAACATCATTTCCAGCATGTGCTTGGGTTCAGGCATGTTCCTAATCCCCTCAAACAAACATCCCAACAGGGATGCCTGGCAAGGCAGGCTCAGCAGGGATTTAGTGGGGCAGGAGCAATGCTGTCTTTGTCAGGAGTCATCTCTTGGGGGATCAGGATTTGGCAGGGATGATACCAAGCTGGATGAGAGTTGGGAGTGTTGATTTGCTTGAGGGTGTCCCTGCAGGGGCAGCTGGACAGGCTGGTTTGATGGGCTGAGGCCAATGGCATGGGATTTAAAAAGGTGAAATCCTGCACTTCAATCACAGCAACCCCACGCAGCACCACAGGCTGGGGGAAGAGCAGCAGCTGTGGCATGGACATATTTTCTGAAAAATCCTTTACTCGGATTTTTTCTCTCTCTTTCATATTTTCTGAAAAATCCTTTACTCGGATTTTTTTCTCCTGAGAAGATGAGAAGCCTCAGAGGAAAAGAAAAACAATAATTATCTGCTGCTGTGGAATGCAACAGGTGCATCTTTGGTTGGTCCACGTGAGTTGTTTTTACTTGATGACCAATGACAGCCACCTGTGTCAAGGCTGTGAGCAGTCACAAAATTTTATTATCATTCCATTCCTTTCTATTCCTTGCTAGCCTTCTGATGAAATCCTTTCTTCTATTCTTGTAGTATAGTTTTAATATATCATTTTCTTTTAATATAATATACATCATAAAATAATAAATCAGCCTTCTGAAACGTGGAGTCAAGATTCTCATCTCTTCCCTTGTCCTGGGACCCCTGCAGACATCACCACACAGCTGGAAAGCTTTCCAGTGGAACAGGACCTGGGGGTGCTGGTCAACAGGGACTGAACATGAGCCAGAGAGGGCCCAGGTGGGCAAAAAGGCCAATGGCACCTGGCTTGTACCAGAATAGCGTGGCCAGCAGGATCAGGGTGGATTTTGCCCCTGTACTGGCCACTGGTGAGGCCACATCTCAAACCCTGGGCTCAGTTTTGGGCCTCTCAGTTGCAGAAAGACCTTGAGGTGCTGGAGTGTGTCCAGAGAAAGGAGTGGAGCTGGGGAAGGGTCTGGAGCACAAGTTTAATGAGGAGAAGCTGAGGGAGCTGGGGGGCTCAGCCTGGAGAAAAGGAGGCTCAGGGGACAGCTCATGGTTCTTTACAATATCCTGAAAGGATACAGCCTGTGCAAGGCTCTTCTTGCAGGTAACAAATGAGACTACAGGAGAAAAGAACCTCAAGTTGTGCCAGGGGATGTTTG